AGCAGCAGCAGCAGCAGCAGCAGCAGCAGCAGCAGCAGCAGCAGCAGCAGCAGCAGCAGCAATTGGCGTGCATCCCTGACCCTGATCTTTTTCGTGTATTTCTTTTTGTTTTTCTTTTTGCGGTTTTTCATCGTCATCTTTGCTGTCTAGCAGACGCCGCAAACCCACTGCAGCAACAATGTGTTTAAATGTTGCTTCGGGTAAAGCAGAAGCAGCAGCAAATAAACAAAATAAAGTTAAGCAGTGGACGCTGAACGCAGCAACAGCACACATACGCATACTTACACCTAGCTAGCTAGCTAGCTAGCTAGCTAGCTATAGTAGAGCTACCTACCTAGCTAGCTAGCTAGATAGGTAGGTAGATAGGCAGACAGCTAGCTAGCTAGCTAGCTAGATAAGAGCTAGCTAGCTAGATATATAGGTGGATACATAGACAGAGACAGATAGAGAAGAGCCAGCTAGCTAGCTAGCTAGCTACGTACATTGTATAAGAAACGACGGCTGTCCAACCGTAGCGACGCCAAAGACCCTTCAGACGATCTCTAGCCTAAAAACATAAAAATAAAAATTAAATTAAATTAAAATAATAAATTAAAATAAATAAATAAATAAATAAAAGAAGAAATAAAATGCAATACACAAAAACAAACAAACAAAATAAACATAAATAAATAAACAAACAAACAAGTGAACAAAATAAATAAAATAAATAAATAAATAAATAAATAAATAAATAAATAAATAAATAAATAAATAAATAAATAAATAACTACAAAGAAGATAAACAAAGACAGACAGAAGGACAGCCGAGGAGAACAACAAAAAAAGATAAACTCACACCAGCTGCTGCTGCTCCTATATGCTGGCGTTGCTGCTGCAGCAGCAGCACAGCAGCAGCAAGCTGCCTGCGTTTTCTTTCTGCCCAGAAGATGCGCCGCTGCTGCAGCATCTGCTGCTGCTGCTGCTGCTGATGCTGCAGCTGCCTTCCAAGCTGCTGCTGCTGCAGTCGCAGCCGCTGCCGCAGTCGCTCAATTACGAGTTCCTGCTGCTGCTTTAGCCTCTTTCCTTTCTGCTGCAGCAGCAGCTTCTGGCTGCTTAGCTGCTGCTTCAGCTGCTGCTGCAACTGCTGCTGCTGCTGCTGCAGCAAACCCGCACGGACATGCGAACACCGCAGCAGGCGCTGCAGTTGAAGACCCAAAGCAGCAGCAAAGTGTTTCAACTTACTAACAAACGAAGAACTTTGCTGCTGCTGCTGCTGCTGCTGCCGCTGCAGCTCTCGCGTCCACAGCTGCTGCAGCTGCTGCTGCTGCCGTTTAAAGCCAACACTGTGGGGTGAATTACGAAGAACAAAAGGAGACAAAAGACGCAGACCCCTGCTGCTGCTGCTGCTGCTCTTGCTGCTGCTGCTGCTGCTACTGTCGCTGCTGTTCTTGCTGCTGCTGCTGCTTCTGTCGTTGCTGCTGCGGGTCTTGCTGTTGTTGTTGTTGCTGGTGCTGTGGTTGCTGCTGCTGCTGCTGCTGCTGTCGTTGCTGCTGCTGGTCTTGCTGTTGTTGTTGTTGCTGCTACTGCTATCGTTGCTGCTGCTGCTCTTGCTGTTGCTGCTGCTGCCAGCGCTCCTGTCGCTTACGATAGTTCTGCGTGGGGTGCTGCTGCAACATCTGCTGCTGCTGTTGCTGCTACACTGCTGCAAAGGAGAGAGTAGCTGATGCGAGGAGCATATAGACCTCCACCCCACAAGGAAGTGCATCCCTAGCTGCTGGTGCTGCTGCAGCTGCTGCTGCTGCAGCAGCAGCTGCTGCTGCTGTTGCATCTGCTGCTGCAGAAAGCAACAACAACGTAGTGTTTGCTGCTGCAAACACTTACCCTCACCGCCATATTGAAATAAGCATCTCCACCCTTCTATACATTTCAAAGAAGAAGCCCTATGCGCCAATGCAAATCTCTGTTGCTGCTGCTGCTGCTGCTGCTGTTTTAGTGTAAAGAGTTGTGCTGCAGCACGTTGCTGCACGGATGGTTTGCTGCATGCGGGTTTAAATCCTGCTCTTGAGGAGCGAAGAAGACGAAGAGATGTCTGCATGTGGCTCGCCATTGATATGTTGAAGAAGAAGAAGTACTGTTATATGCATTTAAATTTCTTTTGCTGCTGCTGCATGCATCTGCATGCATGCAACGGCATGCAAGTGCGACTGCAGCCGCATGCATGCAGGAACCTGTAGAAATAAAACTCAAGCAGATATTCCTGATGATGGTCTTGATATGCCTGTAATAACTGCTGCCGCTGCTGCTGCTGCTGCTGCTGCCACACTTAGCGAAGACGGTGTGTATGGCAGCAAATGTTAATAACTGGCTGCAGGCAAGAGGAATGTCTGTGCAGCTTCTTGGCTTTGAAATGAATAACAACCTCTTTTAAAGGTGTTTCAAACATTATAAAGAGGAATTCCAAGTAAATACCTTATGCAAGAAACATATCTTGTACCAGAAGAGGGGCGGTGGTTAGTCTTGTGTGTAGAAACAAGTGCTGATATAGCGGATATAAATAAGCTGCTGCGAGCGTCAATAAGAAGAAAATGAAGTTTAATTGAAATTAAATATACTGTAGAGAAAAACACTCGAAGCCCCAACGGTGCGGAAGCCAAGTGCGCACTCGCAGCCGCTTCTCTTTACCTGAACGCCGGCAGCACGCAGTCTGTGAGTTTGTGTGACGTTTGGGTGCAGGCGAGTTGTATTTTCAAGGAAAGCTGGAACATTTTGAAAATTAATCATTAATTCTACTTATATACCATTTAAAACTCTCAAAATGTTGGCTAGCAAGCTAGGAATCGAGCAAGTTGCTGACCAGGTACGCAGCGGCGGGGTGTACATACACCTCAGGATATTCACATTTTCATCTTTTTCTGTTTCTTCTTTTTCTGGTTTCAACACTCCATTTTCTTTGCTTTTCTTCTTCGTATCCCTCTTATTATTATGCAATAAAAACCAGTTTACACATGCAGCACGTTAGAAAACTCTCGTCTTTGTCTAGCATCTTCACGGCAGCACCGAGAAGGCATCAATTTCATTTGGTATTTCACTATAGTCGTAGACTTCAAACAAGGAATATTTATTAGTTTATACTTTAGTCTTTTCAGTTGAAATTCCAGGAGTTTAGTTGAGGAAAGCTCCATAAGACGCCATCGAACGCCCATATAAACAAATGTGTATATACATACAGTATATAAAGTATAGTTAATATGTATGTACTATGCTTTCCCCTCATCATGAGTTGTTCTGTACACTTATATCTGTATATTTTTGTTTATTTTTGTGTATGGTGCGTTTATTTACTGACTAATAGAAGCTGTTATTTGTTTTGCCCTGTGTATGTTTGCTCGTTTTGTTAGTTTTCCTTGCATTATTGTGATGATGTTTTATTTTATTATATATAGGCATTAGATTCCCTCTTTACTTGTTGCTTCTTTTTATTATGTATTTATTTTGATTATATATACATATCAATATATATATTTATATCCCTACACATCCTTTATTTCTTCTTTTCTCTTTCATTATACATTATATATTATATTTTATATTATACTTTATATATTATACATTATATATTATATATTATCTATATTATATATAATATATTATCTATATTATAAATTGTATATAACATATTATATATTATTATTGTTTGATGATGATGTGTGTATACAGCTGAACGGGAAGCGCGTATTGATGCGCGTAGATTTCAATGTGCCGCTGAAAGACGGCAGAGTATCAGACAACACGCGAGTAGTAGCGACGATACCGACGATAAAATACGCATTAGATCACGGAGCAAAGGCAGTAATATTAATATCTCATTGCGGTCGTCCAGATGGTAGAAGACAAGAGAAATATAGTTTAAAGCCTGTTGTACCTGTCTTAGAGCAAGAACTCAAGAAAGCAGGTATTGATAAACAAGTTCAATTTGTTAATGATTGTGTCGGCGAAGAAGCAGAACAAGCTTCAGCACAAGCTTCTAATGGACATATTATTCTTCTTGAGAACCTTCGATTTCATATCGAAGAAGAAGGCAAAGGAGAAGATGAAAACGGCAATAAAGTTAAAGCAGACCCAAAGAAAGTTGAAGCATTCAGAGCTTCTCTTACAAAGTATGTTTTAATATTATTTATTATTTATTATTATTAATTATTATTATTAACTATTAATTATTATTAATTATTATTTATTATTTATTATTAATCGTTAATTATTATTAATTGTTTATTAGTATTAATTATTATCATTGTTATTACTGTTATTATTTTTACTGTTATTATGAGTTATTTGTTTAAATTAATTATTATAATTTATAATTATTATTATTATTGTATTTATTTATATAATTATTTATGTCCTTATTACTAAAATTATTTGTGTTTTTCTATGAAATATAAAAAATAAAATATATATTTTAATATTTCTTTTTGCTTTGTCTTCAACCCAGCCCCAATGCACAAAGTAAATAAAGATAAACATACATACATATATATATACACCCTTATTTATTTATTTATATATATATATATTTATTTATTTATTTAATTGTTTAGGCTGGGCGACATCTTTATAAACGATGCCTTTGGTACTGCGCATCGAGCGCATGCATCGATGGTCGGCGTTAATCTGCCGACGCGTGCAGCAGGTTTATTGATGAAAAAAGAATTAGATTACTTCGCAAAGGCGCTTGAAAACCCTCAAAAGCCTTTCCTAGCTATTCTTGGAGGAGCAAAAGTTAAAGACAAGATTCAGCTTATCAAAAATCTTCTCTCAAAGTAAGCAGTTATATATAACATATATAATATATATATATATATTATATTTATATTGTTTATGTTATATTTATGCTTATATTTATGTTTGTATTTGTATATCTTTGTTGTCTTTGTTTTCGTTTGCTTTGTTATTTCTGTTTCCTTCTCATGATTCAACTTCTATATCTTTTTTTATAGTCTATATATATACGAACATATATATATATATTTTATATAAATAAACAAATATATATATTTATATATAAATGAACAAATATATATATTGATAAATAAATAATCAAGCATATATATTTCTATGTAGATAAATAATTGAGTAAATATACAAAACGTATTAACATTATATATATACATACATATAGATCTATCTATCTATATATATATATATATTTATTTATTTGTTAATTTGTTTATTCTTAGGGTTGATATGATGATAATAGCCGGAGGCATGGCGTTTACTTTCAAGAAGGTATTATCAGGAATGAACATCGGTGCATCTTTATATGATGAAGAGGGGGCGAAGATAGTAAAGGATATAATGAGTGAAGCAGCAGCTAAGAATGTAGAGATACTGCTTCCTTCCGACTTTGTTTGTGCTGATAAATTTAGTAATGATGCTCAAACTCAAATTCGTACAGATGCACAAGGCATTGAAGAGCCCTGGATGGGTCTTGATGTCGGTCCTAAGACAATTGAAGAAGCAAAGCAGGTAAATGTTTGTTTATTTATTTGTTTGTTTGTTTGTTTGTTTATTTAGTTTATTTGCTTGTTTATTTAGTTTATTTGCTTGTTTATTTGTTTGTTTGTTTATTTGTTCGTTTATTTGTTTATTCTACTTTCTTTTCTTGTACTTTGTTTCGTTATTTTGTGTCTGTCCTAAAAAACAATTTATATATGTATATATCTATTTACTTGTTTTGTTTATTTTATTTGTTTATTTATTTTATTGTGCCGTATTCAATTGTATTTTATTGTATAATAATAATTACGACAACAAAAACTACAAGTAACGACAATAAAGATAATAACAACAATAACAATAATAAATATCAAAAAAGTAAATAATAATAAATAATAAAAAATAATAAGTAATAATTTGTTTGTTTGTTTGTTTATAGATGATAATGAAAGCGAAGACAATAGTCTGGAACGGCCCCCCGGGTGTATTTGAGATGCCTTCATTCTCAAAAGGCTCTTCAGCATTTGTAGATGCTGTTGTAGCAGCAACAAAAGCAGGTTCAATATCAATTGTAGGAGGCGGTGATACAGCTTCTTTAGTCGAACAAAACAAGAAAACTTCGCTAATGAGTCATGTCTCTACAGGAGGCGGTGCTTCTCTTGAATTGTTAGAAGGTAAAGAGCTGCCAGGTGTAGCTGCTTTATCTAGCAAATAAATATTATATTATTATTATTATTATTATTATTATTATTATTATTTTATTATTTTATTATTATTATCTATTATGTTTCATGCTGGAGGGGCGTTGGACTTCTTCTTTTGATTTATGTGCAGTGTGTGTTTTATGTTTACTGAGTAGCAATATATAATATTAATAATAATAATAATATTATTATTATTAATATTATTATTATTATTATTATTATTAATATATATTGCTACTCAGTCGGGGTGTTGTTGTTGTT